ATGGTTAATATTTATTAAAGAAACACAAAGATGAAACATATTCATGACAAATGCACCACAAATACTCCTGTTTACACTGAGCTACATATTTAAACTGATGCAGTCATATGCTCTTAGACAAAATGGATTTAGGACTGTAGTGTTAGTAAATGTTTCCTAAAGTAATTACTTCTGAATGTCATTATCTTACAAATTTGACCATTTCTGACATTATGCATGGCAACAGTTTGTTAGGGACACTGTACCAAACTGGAATTCAGGCTTTTTCCCTCAAACAAATTTTGAAATGTCACAAACTAGGGCTGGGTAAAAGTGAGTATCCCATGGGAATGTCCATTTAAAAGTCATGTCAGTGAACCAAAGAAATGACCCCGATTCCGATACATTTAAAGGAATATTTGGACCTGTGGGACTAAACAGTAGAGTTCAGCATGGTTAGGGGTCTGTGTTATAGTGTTCAGTGCTATACAAAAGGTTAGAGGTCAGTCATGACTGAGCTTCCCAGTAACACAGAAGGGGAAGAGCAAAAAAACAAAGAGATAATGTTTGGGCTCTTTGACTTCCCTTGAATTTAATTCTCAACAACCCAATGAAGGCAATGACAGATGGGAAAATGTTCTGATATAGGACCACCTACGCAATGTGATTTCAGCAGATAATATATCCCTGATCTGGGACCAGGCAATAGAAGATAATGAAAGAGTGGTACTCTACAGTATATGAAGCACAAACAGTGGCAACTGCTGCATAATAACAGAGCTGAAATACTGTATATACACCACCGCATTTCTGACTCATCCAGCACTGTGACTATGTATGTCATTTATTTTCATATTGTTTGTGAAGTCTCATCAAAGTTCAGGTAGGTTTTTGAATACAATACATAGCCTTCACACAAACACACTGTAGCCAGACTTAACTTCTGCTTAACTCCTCTTAGCTCTGTAGGCTGCACTCGGTCCTGTGCCAAAACAAGCGGGAGCAGCTATACTCAACAGAAGTCACTAGTGAGTAAATGCATGCCATAAGTCTCTCTAATTATAGTGCTTGTAATTCTAATGAATCAATTCATATGATCAAATTTTTCATATGTAATAACTCTTTATAGTTTTTAATCACTCAAAGAATATAGTGTTGTGTAACAGAGACTGGAAACAAATTTACTAAGACACTGCTGTTGTTGCTTGCAACTTGGAAATTGTTTTTTAAACTCATCTTGGTTACATGCGCTGTACAATTAAATCTCCAGTCATTCTTGATATTCAAATTCATTCATGTTCAGTTACGCAATTAAAGCTCTTTGAATGTTTTGTGCCTATCAATATCACTCAGTTATTCCATAATTTTTTTCAGAGGTGTATCTTATTTGTGTTCAGCAGCAGTGCAAACATTTTATTGAGCTCTCGCCTTCTGCCACACAGACAGGGCAATGAAGAACCACTTCAAAGTTTACATGTTTCCAAGAATTAACCGAGGACTTCCATGTAGTAGAACAGAACAGAAAAATAACCAACATGAAAATGTACATACTCGTCAAAATGCATGGCAAAGAAAAGTGACATAAGTCATATTACAGCAGGCCATAGAAGCAAGTAAAAGTAGCAATACCGCAGTGTAAAAACACTGTTGCAAGTTAAAGCCCCGCAGTCAAAATGGACTTAAATAAAAGTACAAAAGTATTTACATTAAGATAAAAAATAAGTACAGATGATGTATATTATATTTATCAGTTATTTAAACGTAGTACTTGAGTAAATGTACTTAGTCACTTACTACCTTTGGGTACTGCCCATGAGGCACTGCCAATAATAACACTACTGCTTCTCTTTTTCAGTAAAATAAAACAAAATAACAATTTAGTACTTGGACAACTCAATAGTTTCAGTAATGTTCTAAATCCCTGCGGCTGATTGCTGCCTAACCAGCTCTCACAACAATCAGCCTCCATTCTTTTATCAGTCATTAGCCTGCCTGACTTGTTGTTGAGTAGGGTATATCCACATGCTCCACAGCAACCTGTCTTCAACCTGTGCGGGATTTGTAGTTCAGATCAGTGAGTCATGATTATCCTCCATGATGAACTTGGAGGAGGGGAGCTCCATTAATCCAATGTAATTGCTCCAGACGAGCTGTGTGTCTGTCAAAGCATTTGTTCAACATTTCATCAGCTGTCTGTCTGTCAAGCACAATATCTTTGACACACCTGACTGGATTTTAATAAAGCTTCAGGGCATGATCACTGTGTTGGGACATTTTGAAACTCATCCCAGTGAGCCTAGGTGTGGTGCTGCGGCATTGGTTTAATTACCTGTTGCACACCTGTTGATGAATGAGGTATAGATAATGGATGGACACCTGTGGATGAAACCTTTTTAATTTTTTACCAAGTGTAAATGTCTTTTTTCTTTCCCAACTATGATCAAACCCAATCCCAACCCTTTCTGTAACAATTTGGAGTTAAAACTCTTTTGTTCAAATACAGGCAGTCCAGTGGGGAAATCAGCATGAACTGTCAGAATCATTTCCTAGAAGTCCCCAACTGCACACAAAACACTCACAGAGAAGTAAAAACTGAAGTGAACTTTTAAGTTATTTCCCAAACTGTTGGAAAATGTCTTGCAGAACAACGTCCTGATTTAACCCCAGTGTCTAATTTCAGAGTTAAGAGTGAACACAGTTTTACAATGGACTGAATAACTGCAATAAATATTTTGACATTTCTAATCGCCAACAACAGTAAGTGGTTTACATCATTTGATCGGACTCTGTTGAACTGTCACCATATCCATTCTTTATAATTAACCTGGTAGGTAAAACACTGTTAATACAAATGAAGGATTTTTTTGACCATAATTATTTTATGACTTTTGTCTGCACCATTTGGCTATTTCTATAATTGGACTGAAAGGCCTAAGGGAGGTACAATGGCTAGTGGCCATAACATTAAACTGGTCATAAACACAGAAAAAAACTAAGTTTCGGATCAGATTTGCATAAAATGGGAGAATGAGTTCTATCATTTTTGCCTTGTCAGGATTTTACAATCTTGCTGTTTGTCCTGAGAAGGACTCTGTAGTTTTTAAGTGCCATCATACCACACAGTCTTTCTTATAAGAAAGACTGCAACACTGCAGCTGGGATTGGCTCCAGCCCCCCATGTGACCCTGTTCAGGATAAGTGGCATAGATAATAGATGGATGCTATACCTGCTACTTCACTGCTACTTCACCAGCAAAACATTAGCATTATTAACAGATAGCATTTTTCCTTATTTCATGATCTCCACTAAAGCCTGCACTATTTGCTGGTCTGCTTATACTTTAACCTCAATGCAACTACTAAAACTATAATTTTAAAACACAGTAGTTGAATATGTAAAAACGTCAGTCCACTGGGTCAGGATACTGGTTGCATGATGCTTATGTGGACAGCATTATCACAATTTAGTGGATAAAAGACAATTACAGCTTTTTCTTCTGAAACTCTTCTTAAAAATCTGCATAAACACACTGTGCCACAATAAAAGAGTAGAAATAATCAAGGGCCTAAACATATAAGAATGATTCTAATGTTGTGTATTTTATCTTATATTCTCGTATGTTGAATATGCTCCCACATATTATATTTTACAGTAGGTAACTCTCTCAGTATTGAATATCTTACCACAGAGTATACAACAAGTCCCTTTAAGAACATTCTATTGGTTTGTGTTAAGGAAGTAGCATGAATAAACAATGCACTGCTGATAGGAAAACTGCTCTACTTGGTGTTTTAATGCTGAACGAATATAGGTCTGCACACCCTGTGGGCCTCTAGCTTTATGCCTGTCCTGCAGTCACATCATCACTTGGACGCGCAGCAGTCAGCTCCATACGATGCGTGTGCAGGCTGCATTGCCGTGTGACATACTTAAAGTGAATGAGTAATTGCATAACCCTGCAAAACTGTGTGGCTTGCAACATGCACAGCATCTACTGAAATTAGAGCATCACTGATTGTTTTTCTCACATAAAAAAATAATGACTTTAAACTAGTTTTGTTTCCCCCGACAGATTACTTCTAAAGCTAAAGTCCTGTTTTAGTCTCAAATTTATTTTCGGATTAATGCATCTTGTTAGGTATTAGGGTCAGGTTATGGGGTGAAATGGCTCTGCTGTGAGCCGCCCACTTGTCCAAATCAACATATTTCATTTAGAGGTTGGTGCGTATGTTGCTCTGCGTACATTTATGGTCGCTGGTAAATGACAGATTACTCACATTTGTGTGAGTCCGTGTAATCCGATTCCGCTCCAGTTCATTCTGTGCAGATCTCATGTCGTCATAGTGTAGCCTTCAGTAGGAGCGCTTCAGCCTCACGTAGGCATGACCAAACACATGCGGAGCCATCCATCCCAGATGCACTTTGCAGGGCTGAGAAATTTCAGCAGCTGTGTTAACAGTCTCAAGTCACATTGTGTCCAGATAATTAGATCAGGTCGCATTAATGTCCATATTTATTTAGATTACAGTGTGACTGTTTGCATTTTGCTGTCACAAAAGCCTAAATGTTGAAAGCTGTGCTTTTTGTCTTATGTATTATGATGCTGTGGTTATAGCCTAGCCTATAATTATAAATCACATGCCAGTACTTTATAATTAGTCGTACTACTAATAGGCTTCGTAGAACTGTAACTGCGCTATGGCATTTTTTTTTTTACTAGTTTCAATTTCATTTCTTGTTTATCTAGGCTGCGGTTTTGTTCATCTTTTGAAGCACAGTTATCGAAATCAAACGTTATTCATCTTTAAATTTATTTTCCTTTTTATTGTTCATAAATGTTGCTTCGCTGCAGCATATTAAATTGTCTTGCTTAGTAGTAGCATTGTTTCTAACATTCTCCCTTTTCTTCACTTTGTTTCATTATAAGGCTACAAACTGTTTGCTCTTTAATCTTAGCTCTTATTTCATTGCGTATGTAAATGATGGCAATGATGCTGACGTTATTAGCATTGTAGTCCTGGAGCAGCCTGTTAGTTTGGAGTCCGGAAAGCGATGCACCTCCTCGTTGTCTCCATCGACTCGATCGACACTCGATTCTCTCACTGTACACCAAACTCGCTGTGCTCTGACCACTGCAACTTTTGCAGACTCCTCACTCCACAGACATGCCGCACAATAGCTGAAGTAAACCTGTCACCGTGGCTCTCTGTTCGAGCCTTCCGATATAATCCGCAGGTTGGATTTGAACTGCACAGCCTGGCTCCTGTCGCTTTCCTCGCATCGGACCCTGCGTTTGCAAACGCCTGGATATGAATTATGAGCGTTTTCCTCACTAATGAACTGGGCCAGTAATGCAGGAGACCGCGGCGACTCTCTCATCGGTGTTTCAAGATGGCAGATTTTTATTGAGTTTTGAACAGAAATCTCGCTTTATTTTTTGCCATGAATAACAGAAAATCTTGCACCGATGGCCCCTGTATACGAAGGTAAGCAGGTTTTGAAAACGGGCTGTTTTTTCCTGTTGGGTCTCAGTCACTGCCTCCTGTGTCAATTGTGATACAATTGAACTGCGGCTGATACGGAGGAAAGAGATGCGTTGCAGCCTATATGTCAAAATCATACAACAAATATTTTCCCAATACATTCTAAACCTACCACAGGTCGTTTGACAGATTCCCTGCAGCTTTGTGTTGTGGGGCTTTTGGTCACATTAGTAAACGCTCGGTCAGACTGTGGTGACAATCTGAGCTGTGTCTGTTAAAATAGCGCTGATACAGCTGCGATCCTCTGCCGAATAAGGTCAAAGACAAACCTGTGTTCAACATAAAGTGGTCTTCATGTGGACAGACACCTGGAAATGTTGCGTTTTGTCCTCACGTTTGTTCCTGGCAGAAATTACAGCTCTGCTTAAGGGGAAGGAATGAAAGAAGGTCGGAGCCCGATCGGTCCGAGTGTCTCCTCTTTTCACTCTCATTCTTCCAGGCTATATCCAATTATTTCACATTAGTCATACAACTAACTGACTTGAGGTGTTTCACTGCCTCGGTGTAACGATGCCCGTGTTTTATTTTTCTTCCGGAAACGAAAGACAAGCTTAAATCGATCATATTCGGTATCGCTGCAGCACTGTGCCTGTGACTAATCCAATAGAGAGAATGCTACCCTGCAAGCTTCTGGAAATTCTTTGCCACCATACAGTTTTTTTTTTTTTAATTCAAAGAGAGTAATTCACACACAGACAATGTGTTTGCTTTGCAATGTCGTTGCAAGGTGGGCTACAGATGTAAAACAATGCAAGCGGCCCACTATAACCCGTGCACGATCGAGGACTGAACTGCAACTACACAAATAATATGAATAGGTTGAATAGTGTGCTATAACATGGGCATTAGTATGGGGAAAACTGCATGTAGTTTTCTATTATATTTGGATGTAATTCAGTAGTAGTGATGTAGTCTGTCATTCAGAAGTACTGTAGCCTTAGAGATGATCTTCAGTCTGCAAGAGGAGAAGTAACCTACACTATGACAATACTGCATGTATAGAGGGAACAAAGGTTTACAAGCTGATCAGTAGCTTGTGCAAACTGTATGACAGCACAAAGCAACTGATGTTTCCAGTATTTATTTTAGAGCAGCTTCATGTTTAATATCTTTTCTACCCTATAGTCCCTCTGCTGGTATTAAAAGGAATCCCTTCTATTCAGAATCACCATTAAGAAAAAGAACTATTGAAAAGTAACACTTTAACATATTTAAAAGTGACCTTAAAGGAATGTGTTAGCATAAGTGGGTCCTAATAGGAATATTTAGATTATGTTATAGCCTATAAAATACAGTATGTTGAAGCACAAAAAGGTGGCAACAAAACTGATTTCTAAGCGCTGTTAGGGCCCCGTAGCCATATTGTAGTGATTTTTCATTAGGGGTGTTGAAGTTTAGAGACATAGCTTGAGACACCGGTGTGTCAACATAAAAAGAAAAGTTGAAATGAGACTCCTATGCAAAAGGTAATTAGTGTAAATTACATTCCCTGGCTTTTCCTTTCACCATGGAGAGGAGGTGAAGGGAAGAGAAAGAGGCAGCAGGGGGAATTAATTACCTTGCCTGTCCTCCTCGGTGTTCAAGAGTGCTGTTATGTAGAGCAGTCATGGAAATGGCCAAAGTCTTCAGTGGAAAATAGGTTTGGGGGGCCCTTCACATAGAGTAAGACCAGCTATTATGGTGATTACTCACCCTTGGCTATAAGGCAGCTAATAACCTAAACCTACATGATGAACTACTTCCTTTAATAGTTTAAAGTAGAGCTTGTTGAGGAAAAACAGCTTCCAGCAGACATGCTTTTGTTTGCCGAAGCACATGATTTCACATTTATAATAATTTATAAGGAATTATTTGTTTAAACAAATGCTTGATTGTGGCCATTGTGCTCGTGCCAGTTTGTTTCATTGTCTTGTTGTTAAGTTCTGCCTTTGTTTCCTCTGGGGTTTTGTGTGTGTGTGTGTGTGTGTTTGCCTTTGGTCCTTCTTGGCCCAACCAGAAGGCCATCAGGCAGGCCTGCTGCCAGGCAGGGCAGTGGTCTGATCACCCTTACAGCCTGGTCTCATAACCCAACCTGACACCTTGATGGATGTCTGATGAATGGAGAAGGTCCAACAGCCCCCAGCTATGGAAAAGCTAATATTCAGACAAACTCTGCCTGCCCTCTGCCCACCTAGATATGGGTGTTGTGGAGAGCTCATGCAAGCATGTGCATATGTCTCTTTCTGCGCATGAGCCAGTACATGTGTGCCATCACCCATTTGTAGGCCAGGCCTGCAAAAGGATTAGACAGCTGTAGAACCAGGCACCAGACAGGAAGGCAGCTTCATTTGTGGATTTGCCTCTCACAGGTCAACCGGTACTTTTCTAAAGAAGATTCAGTCGCTCCCGCCTGGAAAAATGGACAAAGTATGACTCAGAGCCAGGTGATGATGATTATGATGATGATGATGATGGTGACAGGCACTGCAGCATCACAGGCAGATTAATGTTTTATCCATCCACATAGCCATTATGTGTTAATGTGACTTTGAATTACCTTGTGGTTTCCGGGTATGGGGAATGCTCTTTGCCTTCACTGGGGGAAAGTTATTCCGCTGAAGAAAAGACAAAAGGACAGAGAAAGCAAGACTTTCTCAGAAACTCCCATCACAGTTTCCCTCCCTCTTCCCCTCATGCTTGTTTGGAGCTGTTTGATTGATATCTTCCTCACAGGCCATGACCCAGGCTTAGAGTCCAAGGTTGCAGCTTTTTAAACTTTAATTAGAATTGCAGGAAGAGCCCTGGGGGCTTTGGGGGTGCAATGGCAGGGCCGCACCCTGTGGTAGAGTCAGGGGAACTGAGGAGGATCTTTCTTCCTGACTGTTATGACAAGCATGGTGGTGTGTTTAGCTCTTCACTGTCCAAAGTGGAGAAAAAGAAGGGCCAGGGGAGGGAGGATAGCTAAACAGCTGGTAAGAGATGGGGGGATAGTGCATAGCCAAGAACAGTCATCTCTCTCTAAATCCTTCTAGGTGCCATTCCATGAATATATATCTTTTATTTTTCACTTTCACTCAGCGTCAGTTGATATCTGTTTGTTGGCCTGATGCACCCCCCTCATGACTTGTTTGGGAGGCTGTTTGCTCAGAAAGGGTTATGAAAATGGATAAGCCGTCTTTACAGCTACCGCGTTTGCATTATTCAGGGCTTCCCATTTGAAAAGGAAGTGAAATCCTGTGTTGGGGAATTCTTTGTGCTATTGATTTGTTGAAGCATTTAGTAGAAGAACCTGAGGATTTGGAGGGAGATAAAATGTGAGTTTTATGTGAGATGAGGTGTATGTAGCTCTCCACTGAAGACACAGGAATATGTGAATTCGCTGATGTGCTGAAATAGTTCACAGGTGTGATCTAGGGGTATTGGAAACAAGGAGAAGGAGGAAAGGAGGGAGGGAGGGGAAGCATCAGCCTGAACTGAAATGACAGATTAGTAGAGGCCAGTCTGACACAGAAGGCCCAGCCTTGAGTATGAGCAGAATATATGTGGCTGTTTCAAAAGGCTAAAGCTTTCATACACCCTACCCTGTTCAGAAAATTCCTCTGGACTAAAACTGCTTCCAGTACTCCAGCATCATTCTCCTGTCTGTTTTTTCATATGCAGGATGCTCAGTTGAACTGCAAGGGGACTTTGTGACTTTTATTTTCTCCTCAGTCGATAAGCCTCCCGTTTTAGTGCTTGTGCCATATGTTTCAAACCTCCCTCAGAAACAACAGGAAGCAGGGCTCTGAGGTCCTTAAAGCAGGGGACCGCATTTATAGTTAGTTTGTATCAAAGTGGAAGAGAGAGGATGGCTGGGATGGAGCCTCAACTCTGTCAGCAGCTTACACAAGGCATTAACGTGTTGGTTGTCATGCACGTGCGAAGGCCCTGTCCCCCTTGCACTGCCGTTTCACACTGTGTATGGTGACAGCCTGTGTCAAACGGCTGACTCCAGCGCTGACTAGCAATGAAACAGCTCCAGGAAACTAGTGTAACAGGCAACTTACAATTGGGTTTAGTATAATATTGAAAAGTCTCTATTCAAAACACCCCACTCTTCTGCTACCTCTGTTTTCTCGCCATGCTGACTGTCTCCTGCAAGAACAAATTGTTGCCTCAGAAATATTTGGTCTCCCACCAAATACAATATCAGATATCAATAACTGTGCCATGACCAGCACGGCACTCACTATGGCACATGAGCCTGAATATCTGCTCCCATCCAGTCACAGACCAGGGGCAGATCAAGAAAAATTTTGGACAGGGTGGCCAGGTTGGGGCACAGACTCAGAGAGGGGTGGCACATTTCAAATACATAAATAAGACACACACAGTTCTTTGTTTAGTTAACTTTGGCTGCACTCCTTATTTACTCCTGGCTGGGGACAATCCTGCACTTAGTGCGTCACAACAATCCATAGCATTTTTGTGATTTGAAAACTAAATGTGTACCTAAAGAAATGTTCAACCTCCGTGCATTTGAGGATCAGTGCGAGAGAAGAAAATAGATCATGTCCATCGCAGACTTAAAAAACCTCCACTTGTTTAAAGTAATGTAGAAACCACTCCTTGGCGCAGAGGATGAGAGGAGCATCTGTTAAAAAGTTTTGGTGCTGAGAGTCTTTGTACCTTATGATACATCCACTGCTTTGATCTAGTGCGAGAGCCACAGTTCACACAAAGGTTCACAGTGAATAAAGCCTTTTGTTAACACGGGCCTGTTAACCAATAATTACACAGGGATTCCTACAGCATAAAGGGCACTTTATATGCTGAGGGCGTCAAGTCATTTTTTAAAATGTGAATAATGTTGCACAGCGCAGCATGAGCAGGATCTGCATTTTGTTCACATGACACATATTGCGTGCCCACTTTGCAATCTCTCATCATCTGCCAATAACTCCCCACCTCACCCCCAACCACAT